TTTACAGGGATCCTCATGCATGAACTGCATCTCCCCTTCACCATGTTCCAGATCAAAGCTAGTGAGGTCACACCTAACAAGGATCAGGGCTGCTCACGGCCATTTGCCAGCCTCTCCAGGGTTCAAAGGCCCAGCTGGTCTCTTGAGCAGGCTTCTTACCCAATGGGCTCCAGTTCACCTTTTACACTAGGTACAAACCACAGGCCCACTGACCCTGGGTGTGCTGGGTCCCCTCCACAGCCTGCTATCAGGGTTGCCTGACCAATTTTCCCTCATTGGGGCAGGCACATGGTGGGCTATGCCTGGCCAAATCCCAAGGAATGCAGACGTTACAACCCTAGGGCACCTGGTTACTGTAAAGATGAGTGATAGAGTCACAAGCTTGGGGAGCTGGGATCATGTTGACCATGACCCAGTTCCCTCAAAGCTTATCATGCTGCATAAGGCAGATGGAGTTCAATAAATGTCAGGCAACAAAAACAGCCATTTTGCAACAAGGGCCAACATCACACTATGAGTTTGGAGGGTGCACTTTTGGGTTAAGACCAAGGGTTCATGGGTTATCACCAAGAAATGGACTTCCATCATACCCACTTGGTAGAAGCCACTGTGGCGAAACAAATTATCTGCTGGAAAATTTTAAAGCACCTTCACAGGGCAAACATCTCTGCAAACTTAAATATGGCTTAGAGCTTTATAACTTCTGCTGTGAGGATACTGTTTCTTGACTATGACAGAGAGGGTGAGGAGAAAAGCTTCCATGAACCTTAGGATCCAATTCCCCACAGGATGGGTCTGTGGTGGAAGGCAGGAATTAAAGACCTGGGCAGGACAGCAGGAAACAAAATATATTGAAGGAAAGATGCTAGTGGTATTGACAAAAAGATGCTCAGAAGATCTGCACCACATGGCATCCCTCTGGAAGCTGTCCACACTGTGTTCACGCCATTCTGAGAACTGGATTGCACGTCCATTTGAAAAATATCTCTCCACACATTTTCACTTGGTCTTTTATTTATCTACATATTTTAAGGAAAAATGAGTGGACTGCATGAAGTCAGAACTCAGGCCCTGCCTGCCTTCCTTGGGGTTTTTATACTTGCCATGAACTCAGAACAGTGTGTCCACCTGCTTAACTACTGAGGTAAGATCTGCAAGGAGCTTATTCAGAGCCCTGAGGACACCCCAACAACAGCCCAGAAGTCACCTTGACTATACCTCACACTGGACCTGGTCCCTAGAGAAAATACCTTACATTTATGAAGTAAACACTTTGCATGGGCTGTGAAGAACAGCAAGCTCAAAACCAGCTCGACTCCAAGCAGACAGGGTCCCAAGTCTTAGTGCAGACTTAACAATTTCAGAAGTTTGATGTTACAAAATTCAAAAAAGACATCATGTGCGCTAACTGAAGACAGCAAACATAGCCTAAAAAAAATTGTATTATTCAAATTCCACAAGATAAATGTGAATGGAATTTGAATAATTAAAACTTTCAAATGATGTTTTGGTCAGTTTTATGCTTACCATTTATGCTTTTGAAGTTACAAAAGCTTAAAACTGCATGAAGACGACACACTTAGGGCTCAGATACTTGTTGCAAAGTGTAAGAAGACAGCATTTTTTAGTGTTGCTGGACTTAAATAAAAGTCCCCTTTTGCTTCATTGACTCTTCACTCCCTGTGTGCACCCAATGCTGGGTCCCAACACAGCCACAGAGATTCTACGTGCTCCTTTTCAGATATGTGGGCATGTTGAAAAAGAAGACGAACAGAAAGTAGTGCTCTTGGACTGATTGGGAGCACACTCTGGTTCTCGAGCCAAATACAATCTATGACTCAATCCAGTGACATTTGCTGAATGCTAAGTGTGCAGTAAGGGTTATCCTACCAGGTACATCCAGAGACCCTTGCTTCAAGCTGAGCAGGTCCTCTGTGTGTGCTATCTATTCATGTGTCTGGTAAATGTACTGAGCTCTCATATACCACATTCTAGAAAAATACGAGGGCCCGAGGACAGAAAACAGGACCTTGGCTCTCTATAAAGTCACTTCCTACTCATAAAACCAGGTGTATCCATTACCCAGGTCAGCCATGACTGCACAACCACTGTATGCAGAGAAGAGCAAGCTCTGGAAGTTAAGTGATCTGCCCAAGGTCACAGCAAGTGGCTGAGGCAGCCTGCAAGACATTCTGCCACTACTTTGCCTATCACAACCTTGCCATTTGCTTGGCCGTAACTCTCGGAACTTGAAATCCTCATTCAAAATGTGGGAAATAACAATTTTCCATTCATAAATATTAGAACCCCAAAAGCAGTGCAAACTGGGCAAGGAAAACAACCACGTCATGGCAGAGGCGTTCAGGTGTTAATTTGCTGAATTTTGGGGCAGCAGGCAGTGGCCAGGAAAGGGCTGAGAACTTGAGAAAAACCCTGGGCATCTTAGTCTTTTTTGGGAGGTGGTGCTGGGGATTGAACCCGGGGCCTTGCACATGGGAGGCAACCACTCTACCACTGAGCTACAGCCTAGCCCCTTCTTTTAACAAGGTGGTGGCCACGTTTTATTGGCCTGGGCCTGGGCTTGGGGAAGGACTTGAGCTGAAGTCTGCATCTGCCAAAGATCACAGAAACTCAGACATCAGACCTGTTATTTGTGAAATGGGTCTAATATCCATCTCAAAGCATAGCGTGGAAAGTTAAACAAAATACCAGATGTGGAGGCCTCCTCCTCACCCAACTACAGGAAGGTTTCTCTATGACCTGTTGACTTATACATCAATACTATCACACTCAGTCCCCAACCAAACTGCTGTTCCTTTAAATAGGACCCTCAACTCATCCATCTGTCTTCATAAGTCACTCCAGTCCCCTCTGGCTACTTATTCCTCAAGGGCCTACTCTACCACCCTGTTCCCTGAATACATGCTCCTAAGTTTGGTTCTATATTGAAATTTGGAAGGATTCTTCTTTTAACCTTCCTTCTTCTACATTTTCTGTATATTTTTATTTTCTTTAAAAATTATGTTAAAACATTGTCCCCACAACACACATACTGACCTATACCCCATTACTACCACCCACACCAAAAACAGCCCATCTAATGGGCCAGACTGGCAACCCAAGCACAAAGCCCAGTCAGGGTGCAACCTCCAACAAACCACTGCCCCTTTAAACTTCAAGTTCTAGCCAGGCACAGAGGTACACATGTGTGATCCCAGGTATTCAGGGGGCGAGGCAGGAGTACAATCTTGAGGTCAGCCTGGACAACTTAGCAAGACCCTGTCTCAAAATAAAAAATAAAAAGAGTTGGGGATGCAGATCAGTGGTAGAGCACCCCAGAGTTCAATTCCCAGCACAAGAGAAAAACAAGCCCCCCAAATTTCAAGTTCTGCTGGCGTAGTGGCTATAATTGCAGTCCCGTTACATCAGGACTGAGGCAGGAGGATTGGGCAACATAGTTAAGAGCCTATCTCAAAAAACGAAAGAAATAACATCAACAAAACCAACTTCAAGTTTTCCCCATCTATAAAGCAAAGGGTTAAGCCAATTAGAAGAGACTCAAGTCCCTTCCAGGGGTAGAGTTCCAAAAACCACAGGTATACATCAAGAGAACACACAAGCATACCCTGAGCACTACTGCCCCTAAACCTTTGCATATGGGGATGACAAAGGCTGCAATGTGCTTTCAAGCTCTTCTTTGGCCCTTGCACAAGCATTTGGGAGTAGGTGCCCCTATTTCCACTTAGCAGATGAGCAAGGCCAGGCTCAGATAACTTCAGACTTTCCCAGTACATCACCTGCACTGTTCAAATAGCATGCTCTCACTTGGTTAACTACTACTTGTCAGAAACGATGCTAGACACAGGGAGCCTGGCCCACAGTGTAAACAAGTACCCACGAGGCCTTGTCTGCAGAAAGGCTTCCAAGTGCAAAGCGCACCTCTCTTCCCTCCCCTTCTCCTCAGAGGTAGGTGCTGCAGAATATTCTGACATTTACTGAGTACCAACTGCAACGTCACCGAAGGATAACACCTTTCCACTCCAGGAACCCTCCAGCCCCCCAAGTCAGGTTCTACAGCATTCCCTTTTCATACGTGACACAGGCACTAAGAGGTTAAGTACCCAGCACCAGGTCTCATGTCCAGCTAATGACAACCCCCGGCACGCGGTTATTCTGGTCTTCCGTCGGTGCTCTGGACCACTGGCCCTGGGGCCTTCCCTTAAGGACCGAGCTCCCGAGACTCGCAGAGCCTTGTCCCCAACGTGCAGCAAGCCGGATCCCCAGCGCGGCGGGATCCAACCGACCCGGTCTGGCCAGGCCCGGGGGCCTTTGCGTTTTAAACCCGGGACGAAACGGCCACCCCAAGCCCGGAGCTCCTCAGTCCTCCGTGCGCAGAGTCTGAACGCAGGAGCTCGCGGAGGGGCGGACGATGCAAACGCGGGTGCGGCCGCAGCCCTCCTGCTCGGAGACCCCTGGCCGCCGCCGCCGCTCACCTCAGCCGGCGCCTGCCAACGGTTTCAACCGGCGGCCGGGAGCACGTGGAGCCGCTGCGGCCCGCCAGCGCTACAGCAGCCTCTCGAACTTGCCGGCGCAGAACTCACTTCGGAACCGCCCCGCACGCCTGCGCGCCACAGCTACCCCACCCCCTGTCGGAAGTGACGCCACCGGAAGCTGGGAGGCCGGCGGGGAGGGGGCGTGGTCGGGATGGTTCCGCGGCGCC